TAGCAAGACCAAAAACAGTCTCCACAGTGCTACATTCAAAGTCGCGTCTCTGGCTTGATTTTAGGGCACAGTTGATCACTGCTTCCTCCTTAAATGGTTTTCTTCACTTACCTTCCAGAACACCACACTCTCTCCGTTTTGTCCTCAAATCCCTGGCCCCTCCATTAAGTTTCCTTTCACTTATCTCTAAAAACGTTAAAGTGAATACCTCTAAATTTGGGTTGTGACTGAATCTGTCTCATGGCAAAGATACAAGTATATGCTGATAAATTCCATGCTTCAATCTCCAACCCAGAGCTTCTTCCTGAAATCCAGGCTCATATGGTCAATTGCCTAACCTACCATGTCAGAAACTGAAGGTTAACTGAAGGTTAGGCTCATATTGCCTAACCTATCAATTGCCTAACCTATCATGTCAGAAACTGAAAAACTGATCTTCCAAAGCTCGTTCCATAAGCTTTTTACATCCCTAATTAATGGCAATCCATCCTTCTAGTTGCTCAGGCCAAGAGACTTTATAGTAATCCTCACTCCCTCTTTCCTTCCCTTTCTCCTCATCTCTCATACACCGCACACACAGCCAATTGGTCAATAAATGTCAAAGTATAACCAGAGCTTGACCACTTCTTACCCCCTCCACCATCACCTCTTTGGACCCAGCTCCTATAGCCTCTCCCATGGGTTACTGCAAGGGCTTTGTGACTGGGCTCCTTGTTTCCACCCAGGCTCCCTTTCAATCCACTTTCAACACAACAGCCAGTGTGATCTTGCTGAAACCTAAGGATCGCATCTCTCCTCCGATCAGAACCCTGTAATACCTTTCCACCTCACTTAGAATAAAGCCCAAGCCCTTGCAATGCCCTGTATGGTAATGGGCTCCCAGTGAAGGTTCTGACCTCATGTCCTGATGATTCTCTCCCTTGTTCTCAGGATTCTATCCAGCTATGCTATCTTCTTTGCCCCTCTCTGTCTTTACATTTGCTGTTCTCTCTGCCTGACACAGTCTTCCATCAGATACCTGCACAGCTTGTTCCTCGATCCCTCACATTTTTATCAAGTGCCAGGCTTTCATTGGCCGCACTATCTCAATTGAAATGCCGCCTCTCGCCCTGCCCCCACTTGTCATACTCCCTTCATTTTTCTTTATAGTATTTGTCACCACTCAATGCTATGTTTTTTTCTTATTTGTCTTATTTATTTGCCTGTCCTCCCTGTAAAACTCCCTAGGAAAGTATACTAGATTATAAGCTCCAAGAAGACAATGATTTTTGTCAATTTTGTTGTTTGCTATATCCCTAGAACAGTGAATTAGAGATGGTAGGCACCCAACATATATTTGTTGAAATAAACAAGTGAAAAGAGGCGAAAAAGGATATGAAACCTAATATAGCAATGAAAAATAGCTAGATTTTTCATGTGTTTTTAAAACACTAAAATTATTTTTTTAAATGAATGGTATAAATGACCAATATAAACCTATAAGACACTCAATACATTATCATCATTATTATTGTTGCTTCCGTTTTGTTATTATGAGGGGAGAAGTTCCTTACTTTCTATTCAACACCGGGGGTGGGGGTGGGGGGTGGAAATGGCTTCTGCTCTTGAAATGGAGATTATGTGTTTTCTTTTCCTTTTCTGGTTCATTTTTGAAAGGGACAATCTGCTGATCTGGTTTCTTTTTTTTTTTTTTTTTTTTTTTTTTGCGGTA